TTGTCTCACAACTACAGGGCATTGCAATGCAATTACAGTGCATCGCCACTGCACTCTGGGTGCGGTGAGTACAATCCTTGTCCCCTGATTTTCGAGGTAAAGAATGTGAACTGGAGAACAGAACAGCTTCTTGCTGGCTTGTGCCCCCAGAGGGGTGAATGCAGCCAGGATGTGGTCAGGCAGTATAGTCAAGTTGGAGTAGTGACAAGTGCCTTTTGGTCATCCAGAGCAGTCATTGTTCATGATATAAACATGATGAGAGCCATCAAAGACTTGTGGGGCTTAAAGCTTTACATTTGAATGCTTAAAATTTTAAAATCAAAGCATAATTAAAAATTATCTTAAGCATTAATAGCTGGACTAGGCTCTTGTCATAGAATCATTAAATTGTTCAGGTTGGAAGGGACCTTTAAAAGTCATCTAGCCCAACTCCCCTGCAATGGGCAGGGACATCTTCAGCTAGATCAGGTTGCTCCTATATTGGAAGTTTTCACAGATGGCACACCAGTGACCACCTAAATTCTAGTATTTTAATCTGTAATAGTGTTGCCTCATGTTTCCTTCTCAGCTGTACATCAGAGTTGGAGAGTCATGCTTTACAGTGGTTTTGCAAGGAAGTTTTTATCACAATTGTATATCTTTTTCCAGTTCAATTAGACTATGCTTGTTGTTTGGGGGGGGGGGGTCACACACCATAATGCCGTATACAAGATCTGTTTGAATCATAGACTTATGATTGTGATTCAGAGAGGGTTTTTCATTTGTTATGAATTTGTTGCTTAAAAGTCCTGTTATCTGGGTGTCTGACTGCTGTCTTCATTTGTATTTTATTGCTCCAAGATTGTTCCTGAGCAATTTCAGACTCTGTCAGTGTGTATGGAAGATTTAATTTTCTCCTCTAAACTACATTATATTACATTTATCTGGACTGAACTTTGTCTTTTTACCACTGTGAGGCTCTTCCGCAACTCCTGTAGTTGACTATCACTTTTGATACTTTAGTTTTCAAAATTGTAATGGCTGCATGAAGTAGGATAGCTGCTGGTACAGTGCTCTAGAGGCTTCATCATGACCTCTGTTCTGAAAACCGACTCTCTGAGTAGAGAATATCTTTAGTCACAACAAAATAAGAGTATGAACTGCATATTACTAGGATGGGAAAACTGCAAGGCAACTGAAATCTCCACAGCCCCTAGAATACTGTGCTTTTCTTTTATCAAAGTGTATACATAATAAACTGGGAAAAAAAAAGCAACAGTCCTTAACATGGTAGCAGCAAAGGCTCTGTGAAAGTTTCACATGTATGTTGAATTTGCTTACAGCAGCAAAGAACTTAAATCTTGGTACCTGCAGTAGAAGAAACAGGTATTATTAATTCATGGATGCCTGAGAGTTCTGAAGGCTTCTTAATTAGCAAAGTATGTAGAACATGTAAAGAAACAATTCTACATGTTAAAAATTCCTCTATGTGAATCTCACCTGTGAGCTAGATGACAGTAAGAACTTAATCCAGTCTCTGTAACGCTTTAGTCTGGATTAAGAAGAAGCAGTTTATTTTATCTATATTTGTCATAGATCTGCATCAAAGGCAAAACCTGCAATAAACACTGTGTTTTTAAATAAGTTATAGTATTTCTCTCCACAAAAAATATATTTGATTGGAAAAATTTGTTTCACCCTGGGCTGTAATTAAACCAACAATTCAATATTGGCAAGTTTTCAAAATTCTACTGTATTTAAAGTAAGGAAATACTTTGAAAATCCAGGAATTTAGTGAAAACTTCCTTGGTGAATTTGTTTGTTTACTGCATGTATTGTACAATTGGACAATGTTGGCTTATCATAATCTGTAACAAGATTGTAAAACATATTTTGGAAGAGGAAAGCTTCCGATTAATATCTAGAATCAAAAAAACCCAACCCACAAAAAAACCCCAAAAAAACTCAAACAAACAAAAATGACAAAACCAAACCAAACCAGAACACGAAAAAGCCCCCAAACCCCAACCGTTTGAAAGCAGTGAACGTCTGCAATTTTAGACGCCTTAAAGATCTTTGAAAATTTGGGATGTAATGAAACATTTTCACAAAATCGAGTGTTAATTTGGCAAATTAATTCTGTCACCATTGTATTTTAGACTATTTAGGCTAATGAGATATAGTAGTTCGTATTTTTGTAGCATCATACAGATCAAACTTCTGGGATACAAATCTATTAAGTTCTTCTATATGTTTTAGGTATGTAACAAACCCCAGACAGCTAAATTAGTAGTGAATTAAACAGAAATAAGGCCTTTTTATTCCTTCTATTGACACTGTTGACTTCACTTCTGTACTAAAAATTCATCTGGACTACCTAGAAATGGACAGACGGGGCAGAGATACAAATCTTCTATTTCCTGCATGCTGTCTATCGGAAACAGCTTCACAAGATGGAGTTGAGCTCATTCAAGACTGTAAAAGCCTGAGATTTATGGGGATATTTGAGATCTTAAGGAGTTACTCAAGAATTTCACCAAGACAGACACTGTGAAAAGTGAACAGAAAGGTACTTTGATATCAAACAATTTGGCCTTTCTGATTGTTTGCATATGTGTTTGTTGATTTACAGTGATTCATCCATGAATAAGCATAATATTTTAAAGTGTTTTTATCTAGTTCTGTGGTAGCCATAGGTATTATGCTAGCAACTCAGAGGGATGTCGTGCTCTTTTTATTTGAAAGCAATTGTCTGTGTTGTCAAACTGATCAATTTTAGAGCTGCTTTTTAAAAGCTGTTTATGAACACAACTGTTAAGAGCTTTACACCACATTGACCAGCAGTGTTTACACTCACAAGGTACAGATACTGAAATCATTTTCCAGTATTTTTTCTTCCAGTCCCAGGTTCATCTCACATAACTCCAGTCTCTTATATGAGGTACTTGGAATAGGAATAGAGTAGCTATATTTGGTAGGGAGTGAAAGGCATGTGTGAGGGGCTTAAATTTCATAAAGTACAGAGCAGCAGCCCTCTAAAACCTAAATCTCTTAAGAAGGTTAAGATACTGAGGAATCAGTTTCAGCTCTCAAGCTTGAAGATTAAATTTGAAAGCATGCATTTTCAAGTCAAAATTCTTCATCGTGGTTCTAGCCACTATTGAACAGAACTGTAGGAATAATAGAGCTGGGAGGCCAGTTTCTGCCATTGTTTTAAGTAACTCACTGAAGATGTTGGTGATGGTCTAATGCTTGGTGGAATTTGGGAAATCTCTATGATGAAGTCAGACTTCAGAGGAATCCCAAATGCCACCGTCAGCCTGAACACAACATAATATAAGCCAAGCAGTGCTCATTTACTAGATAAATTCATCATCAAGAGTGGAAGTCTGAATCACAAAGGGCAGATATTCATCTCTGTTTCGCTGGTAGAATGAAACGCAGAAATGTGATCATCACCATCTGACCTAGTTAATTGCAGAGTTGCCCAAACTAATTACTGATAATCTTAAATCTGTGGGCAGAATTAATCTTCTTCTTGTAGTTTTAATGTCTGTGTCCCAATAGTTAAGTAAAGTTCATAGAATGATTTTAGTGGGGAGAAGAATCTGCTCAGTATGTTACAACTATTTCTGTTTTAAAGGAGAAACAGTTAAAAATATCAGAATGTAATAACAACATGTAAGCTAACCCCCAAAACCATATGTATCTAAATGGAGGCAATGACTTCTTGTCTGCTTTTCTTCTGGAATATTATGCTGTTGTTCTCTTTTGTCTCGTACTTACCCAGAACTGTATCTGGACCACGTTTTGCATTTGTGACTTTTTAAGGTGTCTATACTTAATTCATTACTGCCAGAGAGGAAGTTGACTACACACAAGATGCATTTTGTGTTTTCTTTCATTTATGGATGACTGAAATACAGCTGAAATTCATATACAGGTAGCACAAAAAATGGTTAGACATAACTAAGCAAATTCAATAATTCTGGAGATATCCTCAGGATTTATACAACACAGACTGCAGAGTTGTGTCACTTCCTATCATCGAGATTGGTCTCTCAGTGGAGGCTTTCCCTGAGGAGGGTTTGAAGATGACAATGCCAGAATTCTAGTATAATTAAGAATTAGTTGTGGCTTCTTTCTGGATTTATTTATGTACTTCAGACTATCATTTTCTCAAACATTATCTAGGAATCTTTTGATTAACCTCTGTGGGCTCAGGCCAGACTGAAAGTATCTGTCATAACTTGTATACAGGTTCCAAACCTAGTTTTGTAGAGCAAAAAGTTCTTCCTAAAACAACCCCAACCAACCAATCAACCTCCACACATGTTAGTACATAATGTGTTGGATACACTTCTTGAGTTGGATAACTATGTTCAGTAGAAACTGGATTAGCTCCTATGTACTAATGGGGCCTGAAAAGCTGTGGTTTTTTTAAAGCAGTTACTGTGTTTTCCAATTACATGAAACTGTCTTTTAAGCTTAACGTGCACATTGACCAAGTTTACCTCTGAACTCTTCAGTCTACTTTGGGATTCTAATAGCTTTTTCTTGTCAAAGCAATAGCATGTTTAACAGCTTCTGTGAGGAGACTTTGGTGTGTGTCATGGGTAACAGATGAAGCCTGCCTGGGCTAATAATTTGTGTTATGAGAATTATTGTTTTGCATTTCCTAGAATAATATCAAGCATCAAAGGGTTTAGATCAGTTGTTTGAAACAATGCTTATTGTCATCAGAGGCTCACTCAAATCATCTAAAAACTGATTTCTGAGATTTATAGCTGTTACTGAAAGTGAGGGGAAAAAAAACCCAATACATTGTCTGAACACTTCTCAGAAGGTTTTGCTGTTTGTAATTGTCCAGTCTTTTCCTAGTGAAAAAGACAAACAACACACAGACACAACAGCAAAACAATAAACTGCAGCAGTTTAACAACTTGATAAATATAGTAACTGAACTAATGGCTTCCATTTGCCAGATACTTTCATTTCCTATTATTTTTCTCATTCAATAGGTGATATATGCCCTGAACACTAAAAACGATGAACATGAAGCTAGTATACAGGCTCTGAGAGAGGCTCATGAAGAAGAAATTCAGCATATTCTTGCTGAGACAAGGGAAACAATTCTCCAGTGCAAAAGCAAAGTTGAAGAAGAACAGTTGCTAAGAAAACATATTCAGGCACTTGAAATTGCAGTAGAACAACACAAGAGACTAAAGGAAGAAGCCTTGGCAGAGTTAACATTGTGCAAGAAGCAGGTGGAAGAGAGGGAGCCAAGAACAGAAATGGAACAAGCACAGACAGTCCTTTCTATGGACACGGGAGGTACCAACGCAGCCTTTGAAAACAAGCTTCTACATTTAAAGCAGGAATCTAATGGACTGGTAAATGAGTGCAAAGCATCCAGAAGAGAAAATTTAGATGAAAAAGTAATTTTAGATGAAAAATACAATGTAGGAGGACAACCTTTAATAAATGAAATGAAAAACCTGAAGAGTGAGAACCAGAGAGCAAGTGAAGAAAATACTCAGAAAACAAGCAAACTGCAAGCCTCTTGTGAGAAAGGAAAAGAGACTTTGAAAAAGGCCGTGCAGCAATCTATGACAGAAACAAAGAATTGCCAACAAAGAGAAACAGAGCAAAGTAAGAGCTCAGAGACTGAGGAAGGTTTTTTGCTGCAGCAGGTAAAGAAGCTGGAGGCAGACCTAGAGGAGAAAAACCTGAAGATAAATGAGAGGAAGAAGCATTCCCAGAAGCTGAAGGAGAGAATACAGGTAGAGTATGAAACCATGATCCTTATCTCTTCCTATAAAAGTGCAAATTATCAGGTTTTAAAAATTTTGGGGAGGAGGAGGTCTTTTAAATATATTGAGTCCAATACTTTGTTAAGCACTAAAGCAATTTTAGAGGCTTGTAAGAGAAATAGGAGGACGATAGTGCTGAGAGTTTCAAAAGAGTTGGGATTATTAGTAACTCATTAGAATGCTTTGAACAATAGACTTTATGTTACTTGAGGAAGGAGTAAGGTAAAATACAAATTCATTTGTTTGCTGAACAGAGATTTACCTTTCCTGCCCTGAAATGCGAAGAGAGCACCAAGCAGGCACTCACGCTAGCAGTGAGTATTTACAGAGTACAGTCTCCTTTTCCCCTGTGGTTGCCAACAGCTTACTGCACGGGTATGAACAAAGTTAGGTCAGAAACCTAAGCTGGCAGGTTAGGAATCAAGTGTGATGTATTGTATGACTCTTTCAACCGTGGCTTGTTCCAAGTGACATTTAATGAAGTGTCCTTTTCACCTGTGGAGTTTACTGCACAGAGCCATAAGACTTTCAACATTAGTTCTCATCTCACACTTTGCCTGTCTACCCTCACTGATGTGTATCTCAGAAGTTTGCACACAGCTCTGCAGCCCCTTCCTGCTTAAGTGCATCATGTGTCAGGCACAGCTTCAGAGGCTGGCACATCACGGGCAATCTGCCAACCAGCTGCATTTGGTACGTAAGGTCAGGGTGTGGGAGAGGCACCGATGAACTTCACTGAGCTGAAGCACCCAGCCATGCTCTGTGCTCAACAGTTCCACTTTGTTTTAATACTGCTGGTCCTCCCCGTCACATAAACTCACCTACCAGACCTGTCCCCAGCCCTATGCATGTTAGATAAGAAAACACCTTGAAGGTCTAGACTTGGAGTGTTTCAGAATAACAGTAACTCTTTCTTGATGAGAAAGGTTTATTCCCTTTAGAGTCAGAGAACCCCAGAACCTTGCATGAAGTGTGGTCACCCCAGTGAGCTGTGCTCTTCCAAGGCAACTTTTCACCATCTGCCCTCACATCTTGTCTGTCAGTATTGTCTTGCTGACAGTGCAGAGTTTTGGGCCTCTTCTTTGAGGATGTTATTTGAGGAAGTTCAGCCTTCAGTTTAGTCACTGCCCTTTTGTTTCAGAAGACCAGAGGGTGAATTGAATACACTTTCCTCAGCATTATTCAGACTCCATTCTCTAACGCATAGCTCCACAGCAGAACAACCTCTGTCTTCTGCAGGAAAGTGCAGAGCTTACAATGAATTGCAGAGATGCAGATAAGCCATTTTATTCTAAATTGAGTCAGGGAAATCGTATCTGTTTCAACAAGGAAAAGTTTCTGGGCTCTGTAGAAGTTAGTAGTGATAGAAGGAAACAGGGAAAGTAAAATCCTCGTTTCTTGGGTGTACTTGAAGTAACATTCAGCAGAAATGGAGACATGAAAATTTATGCACATGATTTATTCTTCTGATTTACCATATAAAAAATGCAGGATTTTAGGAATAAATAATGTAAAACGTGATAGGAACTGGAAATGAGAAGGTGGTCTCATTAGCAATTTAATTTCTAAATTCAGTATCAGCTGAATAAAACTGAAATACTTTCTGAGGGACATACGCTCACTTGCACATTTCAGATCCTCTAAGTCTTTGAAATGAGGCTGATTTACATACTACCAGAGCATATTGCCTTGAATGTGTAAAGAGAGCCTCAGACCAGGATAAATCTGAAAGAAGGGAAACAGTTACATACAATGTTGTTTTCTGTTTCTTTCCAGTTTAAATAAAAAGTAGAAGTTTCTCGTTTCTGAATTGACTGTTACTGATGCTGCCACTAAATAGGTCAATAGATTTTTCAGAATCCTGTGAACAAGGACAAACTGGGAAACAGAAACATTCCTTTAATCACTAATACCTCTGATCATTAGTAAAGACTAGCAAGAAAAGCTATTATAAGGCTTAAAAGACAAAAAGACTCATGTTTAAGCAAGGTGAGTTTTCTGTTTTCTTCTCAGTGTATGCCAAGAGGTTTGAGGCCTTTAGATGAAAGGCATCACATTAGTGCATGTTTATTATTATTATTACTGTGGAAGAGAGAATACAAAGGATGATAAGTCATTAAGTCTGATCTGTTTTGTCTACTTTTGGAAGAATTTTAGCATATTCTGGAGGTAAAAGGAACAAGTTTAAGTTTTCAACTACAGAGAGTGTTAAGTACAAGCTCGTTTTATTGCATAAGGTTTTACTCAACATTCATATAGGAACAAATGGCAATTTTGTCTGAGTGGAGATTGCAATATTATATTGGGCATCTAGAAACTGAGACTAGAACCTGCAGAAATAAAACAGTAAATATGGTTCAATTTATTACCTTTATTTATGGACAGACAATTCCCAGCCAAGTCTGTAGGACCAGCTACTAAGAAGGAGAAAAATGACTGCTGTAGCTGAACCCAGGACACTGGTTTTAGGCATCTTTATTATGTTACAAACTATTGTACCTCAGCAACTGGAAAAAACCCGTAACAACTAACATTCATTAACTTTTGGCATGAGTTGTCATGAAATTAATGGAAGTATATCCTGTTCCAGGTTTAGAATAATCACTTGAAAGATGTCTGAGGTAATTCTTGATGAGTGTTCACTTTACAATGATGCCTACTACATCTGAGGGAATGGCTTCACATTACAAGTATTCTGGCAGCAGAGACAGTTGAAGGATGTGGAAGACAAAAAATGCATTTAAATCAGCTCTGTAGGTGAAAGATTTATATTGTGGAACTACAGTGAGAGAGAAAATGACCATTTATTGCAGAGAACCTATTTAATAAACATAGAAGTAATGTCATGCATGTTTTAGGATTTGGAAGTGTAGATTGAGGGAACACAACAAGAAATTTTGGAATCAAAAGGTAGAGTGGAACAACTGGAGGAAGATCTAAGTGTAGTCAAAGAAAGAAATCTACTCCAAGCGAAGGAAATCCTGCAAAAAGCAGGTAAGATCGTTGTTAATGTAATTCTGAAGTATTTGTCAGTAGTCACAAACATTGGAAAGTCTGCAGGTTATTTATGCTATTTGAAATGTAAATTTTGATACCACAGAAGATATGGAAACAATGTTGAAATCCCAAAGCAAAGCTGTTAATATAGTAGATGAGCTGAAACGTCAAATAACAGCAAATGACTTGTACAGGAGCCAGAACAGGAGGTGCTCTGAAGACGTGCAGGAGCTTAAACAGGTGGTTTGCTCTCAATTATTCAAAGGCATGGCATGTCAAAAGTACTGAAATCAATGTCATCTTTCTTTAATAGCTTTTAGGCTATTCTACAGCATTCAGTCCTGTAAGATTCCCAGATATCTGACCTCATCCAGTGGAACACCGGCTTGTGTTTATAACCTGAACTACATGAGTTGCTGCAATGACAGTGAAGAAACTACTGACATCCTTGAGCTAGACCAGGGCAGAGTGTTCAACTGCTTCTGTAACCGACAGAATTTCTCTGTTGAGGTCAAGCTGGAATACCTATTTGGTTTCTTTAACTATAGAAAACAGTTCTAACAAGCTATGCAGAAATAATGCAGGAATAAATGCAGTACGATGAGAAGCGTATGTGTCCTGAGAGTTCCCTCTGTACAGTGTCTGTCCTTAAACAATTGTCCAGCCCCAAATCTTTTCTGTATTTTCTAGTTCTCTTATAATACTGTTATGCTAGCATTCTGGAAAACTGGACCTGGCATCAGAGACATATGAAAAAACAAATTGCCCTTTGTACTTTTTCTCCGAACTGAGGTTGTCCTTGAGGAAGCCTGCATGGTTGGAAGTGAGTTACACACCCAAATCAAACCAGAGCAACAAAAAAACCCCCATTCCTAGTCTGCAAAAGAGGCATACAGGCTTGGATCACTACAGTTCTACACTGTTAACTGAAAAAGCCAGTAGTTTTTAATGGACTATGTCCACCTAAATAGCATTTTCACTACAAAATAGACTACTGTGACCACAGAATTGTACCTTGATTTTGTCATATTATATAGTGTGTTTTATAGACTATGGAAACTGTAGCCATTTAAAAAGAGGATATGAATAAAAGACACAGAGGACTTGCTTTGTAAAGGCAAGCATCAGTCCCATAAGGAAAAGATTTGTCTGAAGGAATAGCTGTCAAAATGGCTGGAAGATCTTGTAATGAAGCATGCTAAGGAAATAAAGCCGGTCTAAAACATCATGGAAGCTGAAAGAAAAAAATGCTGAAGGTAGGAATGTTCTTCTATTTATAGATGCTCTTAATGCATCTTCTTTTAATCTTATTGGTCACAGTGACATCATTTGAATTATCCTCACTGGAGGCACTTTGAATTAACATAAAATTCAAGGATTTTCTTGCTACAGCCTTACGGGGGAGGGGGTAGGGAGGAGGAGGAAAAAGAGAAAAAAGTCAAACTGGTGTATTTCCCTGAAAAACTCCACAGGCAGGAAGGTGAATTTATCCTTGATGTGATAAACTGCCTTCTTAGCAACACTTATCCTTGTATGCTTTGCATGTGAGCTTTAGAGTAACTAATAGAAGGTCCTTCCTGAAGAAAACCATATTGTAGGTGTATTCCAGTTTCTGACTTGAATTTCCATGGATTGCTGCTGTGAAATACTCAGCTACATGGATTAGTCAAAACTTTGCATATGGGCAGAGGATCTAATTCTGCAAAGTGCTGGTAAATGATTGAGAGTGCAGGTGTTACCAATGAAATGATGATTAGTTATGAATACCTGCATCTGCACGTCCTTATTTAACTTGAGTCAGAAAGAAAGTTCATGTTCTCCTGGACTCAGACAGGTTACCTGGGCAATTCCTTTTCTCAATGGGTTTTAAGTGGCTGAGCTGTAAGCTTTGTTGTCAGTATGCATTAGCAGTGATTGGCTTAAGAGATTCTTCAAGGGGTTTCACTTTCATGAGAACTCCTGTCTGTGGCTGAATTCTCTGGCTTCAGGAAATTTGCCATCTGTAATGTTACTGTACAGTAGGAACCTAAATGTGAGCTGAGATCTATTCAAATGTAGGAAAACCTTGAAATACTGTTAGTTTTCAGCACATGCTTTAATGCTTAGTGAAGTTTACAACTCAGTTCATGCCCAAGTGGTTTGCCAAATGTGTGTATAAACTATGGAGGAATTGAATTTCTGTCTCCTCATGTACGGGTGTGTTTGTCAGACATCTTCTAGAAAGAAAAAACATTGATTAGGGCAGCTTGTAGAACTGGACAGTCAGACTACTGGTCAAGTGTTCTTTAGACCCTTCTTGGTGCCAAGAAGGTACTTGTACCCGTTTTTCCCAGTTACAATGCTGTTGTACCTTTCTGAGGTTCACATTTACTTGAAAATAATCCAATCACTTGCTGACAAGTTGGGAAGCCATAAAAAGCATGCAGCTCCTATCACTAAATGTTGAGCTTCATAGTACTTTCTAGATTTTGGAGACTAGGAATTAAATGCTCACCAGAAGAATTCATTTCTGCCTATGAACCTGCTGGAGTGTATATATTTGTGCAACCTCATTTCTCAAAAAGGAACCTGTATGAGTAAATTATCTGCTTGTGAAAGTGCTCATGTTTGATCAGTATGTGAAGATGCAGTGCTTCAGGGTACACATTTACACTGTCAAGTGTAAGCTCTATGAAAGGGACTTTGCCTCTTATATAGAGTATTCTTTTATGTGAGTCAGTTGATACAGGTATATTTAAAGTGATGCCAGCTGTAGCTCTTCATGTGAGTCAGATCAAATTTAAATATCAAATACTTTAGTAAAAAAGGCATAATACAGGCATTTATTGCTTATAACCACCTCTTCTTAGAGATTCATATTAAAAATTAAGAATCAATTAAAAATTTTAAGTTTTACTTGAGTTAGTAAAAGTTAGAATTACAATATTTATCATTAATAATGCTATTTATATCCTCTGATGGAATTAAGGCCTATAACAACTGTCTGAGAATTACTATATCTATTTTCCAGATAGAAAAGCTAAGATACAGAGGAGGCAGTCAATTGGCAGAGTTGCAGTGGGAATGCTGCAAACACCTGATCTCCAGGTTTTAATCAAAGAGACCTTATCATTATTATTTGAGGATATTATTATATCCTCTCCTTTTCATATAGGCAAAACTGTATCTTTCCCTTGCGATATTAATGTCTATTAATCCTTTTAATTGCTACCTGTTTTCCTGGTTTTAACTGTGAAATGCTGATATGTTTTCCTTTATTTAATTATGAGTTGCAAGGAATATGTCAGTATTGACTGTTTCCTAATATCATGCCATCCTCTCAACAATTCTCACTTTCTTAGGTTTTAGTTACCTTTTCTGTTGTCTTGAATTCTTAAGTAATTGTGCTGTAAGAATGAAGGTGAGGCAGGGGTAGGGCTGTGAGAAGGGGCTGTACAGGATAAGGGAGGTGTTTAATTGCTATTTTTACCCTGTTTCCTCCATTTGTGGTGTCTGAAACTATGGTAGAGTATGTTTTGAGTCAGCAAATTGGCACAAATAGGCAGAACAAGCACATTCATATGCTTGTAATATATATCACTTTGGGACATTTCTACAAGTTGCACGTTCAGTCTTTCTACAATAAACAATTGCTCACATTTGCTACAGATAATTTCTTCAGGCTTTTGGTCACTCTCTTGCATGTGTATCACTGATATTTCAAAAACTCTTTCCAGAAATAAGGTGATTATGTCGTCTTCTATTTTTTTATTTTATTTTTACTTCCTCACTGGGATTTTCTTTATAGCTGCTTTAAGATAATGCTCCCTTTGATTCCCTTTTCCACTAATTGCCCATTAGTCAGTCATCTGCTTATATGTATGGTCAATGTATATTTATTATTTTCAGATCTTGTGGGTGGCTCTTGCATACTAAATTCTTTTTGAACACTAACACCACTCAAGGCAGAACAGTCTGACTTTTCATGCTAGACAATTTTCTGCCTCAGGGAAGCTTTCAGTAGAAGATGAGGATTATGCGAGCTGGATTGGCTAGCACTAGTACTAGAAAGAACCAGAAATCAGACCAAACTTAATACTTCTTTGATTGAATAATACATGAGTCATGTTAAAAACCGTAGCATGTATAATTGTATAAACAGTAGCACATATTACTGTGTAAACTGCTTTGTCATGTTCTGTCCTAGCTGTTGCATGCTCTTTCCTTTTTTCCTTTTTCCCCTTTTTTGTTTTGACTTTAGGAGCTGCAGACACAGCTAGAGGAATTTAAAAGAAAATCTGAGTGTGAACTAAAGCAGCTAGAGAAAGAGAAAGAAGTTCTAGCTGGGAAACTTCAAAACTCTTCACTTGAGGTAAACTGGACATAAATGTAACATAGTAATAAAAGAACTCTTCATATTTCCTCTCATCTGAGAGATTCTTGGTTAGATTTCAATTGTATTTGCTGTGATTCTCATTCAAGAAAATATGCAGGGACTCTGGATAGAAATAACAGGAGTTACTGCTCCTGAACATCTATGAAGATTTCAACAAGCCTGTTTATTTTGGTAAATTTCATATGTCACTCTTTGGAGATATACTAAGGCTTTTTGGTGAGGAGTTTGGCTGTATCAGGTTTGGATGGTGACTCTGTTCATCTGTGTACAGGGCTAAGTGAGATTAGAATCTTTCTTGCAGTCCATTGTTGACTTTCTGCTTGGTTTGGGTTTTTTTGTGTGGGTAGGTATGTAAAAGGGCCTGCTTGCTTGCTCCCTTGAGCAAGAGAATTGAATGGAAACAAGGTCGAATAGATCATCATTTCTGTTCTGCCTGCTTGATGGTAAGGGTGGTAACTGAAGCAGATGGGACTGTGCAGTAAATTAGTATGTATTAGGAGTTAGGTACGCTTCTCTCTGTGTTCTTAAGATCAAGAATGAAATGGAAAAAACACTGTGACTCCCAAGTAGCTTTGGGAATGTCATACCTTATGTACTGTTCCTGACTCTGGTTACACTTTAAGTCGTAATGCAAATCTGTGGACATGAATTAGTCTGGAAATACCTGAGATGTGAACATAACGTTTTTTTTTTTACTCGGAAGACAGTGAGAGGCAAAACCAGCTGTCATAAGAAAGGGCAAGTGCAAATAACCCTGAAATTTGAAAAGAATTCAGCAGAAACTAGAAAAGTACTGTTGCTTTGAGTTTATACTGTGAATAGTCATTAGCTGTATCTTTAAGACGCCTTTATGCAATCCTGGTGGGTAAAAGAGAATGAGTAATGGTATTAGAAGTACAGTTTTTCCAAGAGGTTTTGTTTTGCAGCAGGAAGATACAAAACACAAAATCACAGTGTTGCTGGTTTGTTAATAGCTAAAGGAGCCAAATAGCTTCTGGACTGCTGTGAGTTGGTATAGTATTCTTTTATAATATTCCTTGGCTTAATTGTTGCTTTACCAGTTTAAATAAATTCAGGGTATAGGTATCTATTCTGAAGCAATAAAGCACAATAAAATGCCTGGGCACACTGCAAGGTATTCCAGAAAAGGATTTGCACTGGTTGATTTGAAAGCCCTTTTAGTTGAAAGAAAGGAGGAAGAAACCTGATGGGATGGAAATGTTTGTTTCTTAAGATGTAATGAGTTAGAAGTGGCAGAGTTCATGAGAGTGTTTCTATGCTTAATATATTTGTGTAGGGTTTTCTGTCCCTAAATCACTGAAAAATGTTTTTAGAAATAGTTTCCATCTCATTTCTTACTAAATTATGTTCTCTGTTGCTACCAACTTACTGCTTAGCCTATTTCTAGTTAGTATGATCTTACGTTTCATGTTAGTAGTGCTTTGAACCAGTAATGGTCTATGAAGAGAGTCTAGAAGGTTAACAATGTGACCACAGCTGAAGTTTATACAGACCTCTTTTTATCTTTCCTGCCTAGATGAATACTTAATTTGCAAAAGAAATAATCCAAGTGACATTTTTCCTGTTTTCTTTTTTCTTCTGTTAGAAAATACACAGCCTGCTTTTCTGGCACATCTTTTTTACTCACTGGCTTACTTTCAGGAAGCCCAGAAAAAAAATGCATGCTTGAGTATAGTAATGCTAATGCATATTACATCAGCTTATACAGGGACTGTACAGCATTCAGTGTTCCACAGCAAAGATTAGTTTTACATAGAACTGCAGTACCTAAAAACTTTATATAGGAAAACATTGGCTTGAGTTCAATAGGTATTAAGACTGAAGTGAATGTTTTTACCTGCAACCAGAAGCCAAAGTACCTCTTTGGTTAGATCTTACGACTTACCACTTATTTTTCAAAGAAAGAATAAACAAAAATTGCAGGTAAACAAAGGTATCATTGGCAAGTGGCTCCGGCATCTGCCTGTTCTTGGAGTGTATCCAACTGCACATAGATCCCATCACACAGAGACATTAAAGACAAATAATTTTTTTTCATCAAGAATAATATTTAGCAATTATTCTTCACTAGTTTGTTCAAACAGTTTTCTCTGTGTTTATTTGGATGACACACTGGAAGAAGCCAAGAAACGACTGGATGATTAGTGAACTTAAACTCATAGATTGGGGCAGCTAAAGCTCGGTGCTCTTTCAAATTTGCTAACTCAGATCAATTTGGTTGGATAGCAGCAGTGAAATTCCAATGTACAATGTTGGTTTGAAATTGCTTAAGAAGTGGTAAAACTAATCCTTCATTTTCTGGCACAGTAAAAAACTTGATTCACAGAACACTAGGTGAAGGAATGTTTGTTTTCTTCTTACCTACCAACCTAACATTCCCGGGATGTGTGGGAGACTCGGGCTTGTTTTGTTTGTTTTTTCCTTCTGTCAGCTTCCTCACCATTCAGAGTCCCCTTGTCACTGGGCTATAGGATAAAACAGGGTGAGCTACAGTGTGTCACCTTTTGCCACTTCACTTGTATGTTAAGTTGATATTGGACAAGCTAGGCTTTCATCACTTGCATAAGTGTCCCGGTTACCTTCATATGCACATGCATCTACTGTTGTTCTCTTGGGTTTTCTGTGCCTCCATGCTTCCTTTCTCTCTGTCACACACAAAGCAGAACCACTGCTGCCATCTCTTCTTCCCTCGTGTTCTATGAATAAAGCCATTTGTCTCCTTGCAAATGATATAGTAATTTAAGTTTTTAAAACATTGAATTCAGTCCAGAGGAAATACTTTCTTTTTCTTTTTGTTTTATATTGATGTGTACATTCAAAAATGTTTCCTTTGGATTATTTGAATAGAAGTTTGATCAATTGCTTGGTTTGGCCACCAAATAGGAGGAAGTCAACTGCACAAGCTAGTAGCTTTACTAAAGAGTTCTTTAACAAGGTTCATCTCTGCTTGCAGATTTCTGTCATGTCTAACTTACAAATACTGCTGTAGATCTTGGATGAGAAACATCAGTGATAAAGCTGAGGAACTTTGAAGTTCAAGCACAGCGCAGTAGCCCATCTGGTAAAGGAAATCCTTGTTAATTATAGTATAGTTAATTATAGTATGGCCCTTTGTGAGCAAACCATTGGAAGGGGATCAAAGGGAAACTGAAGTACAAGATCAATCAGTGACGATCAGTGATGACCACCAGCAGCTAAATGGAGAAAAGAAACCTGACTTGTGGATTTGAAGGACAAACTATATTTAAATGGAAAGAACACAGTATACTCTGTGTATGAACAGCAATTCTGTAGCCATAAACCTACTCAAAACATGAAACAGTAATTCTTATAGCTGCTTACAGATGTACAGAAAACAGATTTAGTAAAGGAGATATGTAGTTCTCATGATACATGTGTGTGTTCAAGTAACAGGTTTTGACTTATCTCCACAGTGCATGAAGTTTGTGAACATTTGTGTTTCACATGAATAGTGCTTACACAGAAGCAAATCATCCTCATCTGATATTCTGCGAACACACACCTTTTACTCAAAATTATGAACAACTAAGAGATAGAACAAGTTTTTACAATGTTTTCAGGCCCTTATTTATTTGCTCTGTAGAAAAAAGACAGTTAAAATAGGACAAATTGATCAAGTAAAAATAATTCTTTCTACGCAGTGTCTCCAAAAAAGGGTTCACATTCATTTTTTTTTCTTTAATATCAAGATTCATTACTGGGCCATAAATGCTTGTATAAACTCTAGAGAGAAAGGAGCAGATGCCAAGAAATGGTAAAAGCAGAAACTGGGACTAGAAGTGACAAGTCAAGGTACAGTGTAGTTGAAGGTTGTGGTTATAAAGCAGGAGTAAAGAATGTCCTTTGTCTGAAAGGAGTTGGAACTCTGGCAACTGATACAAGCTATATGAATTGCACAGTTCTATGCTGGGAACATATTAGAATAGTAGAGGCTTAGAGTGTACTTGAATAAGGGCTGTGATCCATCTGGAAATGGAGAAGGGCCTCAGGAGAGGGAAAGGACACATCCTTTGGAGGAGAGGATCCAGCATGCTCAACCAGTGTGAGGAAAAGCAGAGCCATGAGCTAGCTGGACTACATTTAGCCAATATCAGAAAGGATTCCTAGGATTTGGAGAGATCTGGTATAGCTCATTAGTATCTCCCTTTAGACAGTGCAATGCTAACTGTGGCCATGAAGTTAATGAGAAGTAAGGGCTTTGCGCATCATGCCTCCTTTTCTTTTACATCACACAAAATATATTGGAAGGTGCTATGAGAATGAAATGTGGATGGATATAGACAACCTACTTAGTAAATCTTCAGCTTTTGTGGTGCTGCATCAAAAAGGAACATGTGTGCAGTTGAAGTTACAAGCAAGTATTTAGCTAGCTAAAGCTACAGTGCTTCCTCAGCTAACAGTCTGTGTATAGCATGCACGGAAAATGAAGATAAGGCAACACCGAGGAGAAAAAGAGCATTTATTAGTGTAGAGGTAAGACTAGGATGGAGTCATAGGTCATAATCTGTATCGTATCAATTTGGAGATGTGTGTAACATCATTTGAGTCATTTAAAATCACATGAAATAGTAAGGGTACAAACTTTTCCTGTTTTAGTTCCTCTAGGGCTGAAAAGTACAAGTATATAAAAAAATGGAAAACAGCCCATCCTCTTTCACATGTTCCCCAAAAGAAAAGGCAAGAAACATAAAGATTTTGTAGGAGGCATGGCAGAGCAAAAAATGTGACTTGGAAGTCAGATACAGCAGCTAAAACACTCATTGGCCTTACAGTATGCATGCTCCTTTTGTGCAGAAGGCAGTTGTTCAGAATTTTGCAGCTATGATCTTTGGAATCGCAAATTTAAGAAGGACAAATACAATTTTTTGCTGAAAGTTGAGAAAACCTACCAAATCGGAAAGAGAACAGACTCCTCTTTCCTTCCCCACCAAAACAAAGTTGTTTTTATAAGCAGGTATTTTTTGTTACTTTTCTGTCAGCCGTTATAGATGTATCTACTGTATTTAGTAATTAAGCAAAGAGAGGGGAGAAGGTAAACCAAGTCTGAAGTGTGATGTGCAGAATTCTTGTTTCCATTGGTTCTAATCTACTGCTTTATATAAATGGATTCTGCAATGTTACATCTGAAGTGTGACATCTCAAGGCCTTAGGCCTGCCTCCTGTTTTGTACCATAAGTATTGTGCAAATTGAACTGCAGGTGGTAGAGATGAGATGGAGGCGATCTGAAAAGAAATAACCTAAGAAAAAGACTTGAGCAACAGACAGTATGTGCAAGAGAGATGTCATTCTTCACTGATAAAAGTTCTCTTTGCATAAAACAAGCATCTTTCTATTTTTTTATAGAGCAACACATAGAAACACATTTTATGAACATAGGGTTCATAAAATCTACTCAAATTTATATAATTTCTCTTCATCGTGAATGCATCTATTAATCCTGTCTTGCTGACTTACTTTTTCTGGAAGGTGGGTCAGCTAAAGCAGATATTAGACCAGCAAGCAACTAATTTTAAGGAGTCTCTGAAGAAACATAATCTACAGTCCAACAAGGAAAAAGAGAAGCTTTTGCAGGATCTTCAAAACATCATTAAAGAAAACCAGAATGTTAAACTGCAATTGGAGGCATCACATCAGAAAGTCTTAAAAATGTTGGAGAAAAGCAAAAATCAGGAACTCAAGGTCAGTTTATGACATACTAGTGTAAAAAAATAAAAGAAATCTTATTTGTGGGCTAAACCATATTAGTTAGAGCCAATCGTCAAAACTCTGTTATCTCCAGCTATCTTACTAATAGGTTGCAGTTGTTGCCCACGGTGAATTATTCTGTAATTTTGAAACCCTATTCTCTTCAGGTGTTTTGGTTTTGTTTTTTAATTTTAACGTTTCAGCTTAGATCACAGTGTGAATGAAAGAATTTAATAAAATAATGTAGCCTACCCTCTATAGTTAGGCTGCAATTAATACAAACTCCTGTAGCTGTGCTCTTGCTTCAGAAATACAAGGGAATTCCTAAGTGTATTATTAACAGGACTCAGTTTTACTCTTTTTCATCCATTATTTATACATAAATCCTTTAAAAGTATAATAGATACGTATAATGATGTGTCTTGACTTGCCTACCTTCAAGAAATCAATTCTGGAAGTGGATAACCAATGCTTTTAAAGGTTCAGTTGGATTTATTTCAGTGACAAAATGTTATTGCAATATACTAAGATTCTAAAGAATGTTGCAGTTTGAGGGAAAAAAAAGGCAACTTTAAAAATGTTCATGTGGTTGTGACGTAGAGTTCAGATGTCCCTGTTGATACTGCACACCTTAGGGAAAACCTCCGTATAAAACATGCATAGTAAACCCACCTTAAGTAGAATTTATATCTTTATATATTCAGGATAAAATCCTAACTTTACCAAAACCAAGCTGAAGGCAGTAAGTTGGTAAAAATGAAACTGAGGATAGGAGTTTGCTTTCAGAGCCACTACCAAGCAACTGTTCCATCATTTGTATTCGCAGCACTTCTAACAGCAGGGTAAGTTCTAGGCCAGGATCATACAAGGAAGGATAGAAGCCTTTGCCTGACACTCTGTGATTAGTAATGACATACAGGTCAAATCTAGGGGGCTTTAGATGCTGACTAATAAAACACCTTTCTAATGTCTAATAGTGCAAAGATAAACAACTAATAGATAATATCTGAATAATTTCTCTTGTACCTATTAAATGTTATTTTTAAACTTCAGCTCATTTTTATGCTTGTGTTGATGAAGTGTCATGTAAAGTGGTGAAAGACCAGACTCAACCTGGCATTGCAAGTAAAACAAGGTAATAAATAGGCTCCAACTACTTTGTTTTTGGGGATGCTTTTGCTTACAGGAGGCGGAAGAACGTTTGAAAAAGGAATTTAATGAGACTTTCAAGAGCCAACATCAGTCTCATAGGCTGGAAATACAAACCTTGGAAGAGAAGGCAAAGAAAGAATTACATGATGAACTCGAGCAGATACAGAAGCAGCAAACTGTGTTGCTAGGTATAATGTCTCATGTCATGCACAGCTCAAACTGTTTGATTATATGCTGAGAAGCACTGACTTTTCTCCCATTCGTTTTCCTTCCCATCTTCTGGGAACTCAGATCTTTGTAAATCTCCTTTTCCATACCCTGCAATTTCACAATACAAAATTCATAGTTTTTGTTAACCTGGCTCCCAACTGTTGGCAACAGGATGTTGCTGGGAGAGTAGTCTGGTGCACAGTGTCTCAAGTATGCATTATCAGGTATATTAAATTGGAATATTGTAGTTAGAGTATACAATTTTACCCTTTTGTCTATGATGTGAAGATTTATTATATGCGGTTCAAGTCTGTTCTGTTGAGTTCAGCAACGGATAGCACTTGCTCCTTACGCATTGTTCATTAAGCTTAGAAAGTTCCCTAAACTGTTCAGAACTAATCAGAACACTGCATTAGAAGTACCTGTAATATCTCCAGGTTTAAGCTCAGGTTATTAAAGCTCATGTATCGTTGTGGTTTAAGCCCAGCTGGTAACTCTGAACCACGCAGCTGCTCAGTCACCCCCCCCCCCCTTTTTTTCCCCACCCCACCC